AAACGTGAAAATAGGCGCATCTCAGAACTGATCAAATATAATATTGTTTAACTATGATGAGAACATTTGACCCAAATCACCTTAGGAACTGGGGATCTGAAATTCACTCATGAATATTTAAACTTAATATCTTCTATTTTCATTACTAATTGTAGCTGATGGGTTACACACCTATTCTATGATAAATATTTATTTATAAAGGGGGACTTTTAAGGGCTTGTAAAAAAGCTTTCACATTCAACTGAAGCATATATTTGTCTGGACACTAAGCTCTTCTGCAACCCAAGCTCAGCTCTGCTAGAGTCACACACATGATTCATTAATCTCAGAGATGCTGTAATGAACATGGAATAATAACCTATAGCCAAGTAGTTAAACCTGGCAGGAACCTAAGAAATACCTATTTAATAGAAAGGTTCACTGGATTATAGCAACCTTTTAGCTGGAAAATGCTGAAACATTAAAAAAAGATATACTAGATATAATTCCAGATATTATACACTGGTTGTTACCCTTCTACCTGACAAGCATAAGAGATAATACGTGGCCAGTTGGCTGACTTCTTACATCTTTATTAGAAACACAGTTATAATAGGTTTAAAAGAATTTAGTTTCTGGTTGGTAATTCACTACTTTCTATGAGCCTTTTCAAGATATCTCATGTAATATTTTGAGATACCATATAATTAATTCTAAATATACATAATACTGAGAAAAGGTAATACCATGGGCTTAGAACAGTGTTTTAAGGCACAGGGAGATGATCTATAGATTATGATACGGTAGTAAGGGTGCTGAAAATGCAGATACGGATGACCGAACAATAGAGATTTTGGAAATTGGTTTTAGAATGTACTTGAAAAAGTTAACAGCTGTTTTTAGTGATAGCTTTGAATCTTTAAAATAAAAGTTATATTCTTTACTTAAAAACAAATCTATACAGTTTTAGTTGTGGCAAAACAGGTAATAAAAAACTTGTCTAAGAAATACCAAGTTCGAACTGCAAAAGAGAGATGAAAATAGGAGCTCCTTAATAGCTTCTTGCTCAAATACCCTGTAAATTAAAAATGAATAAATTGTTTTTGATTTCCTAATGTCTTAAAAATGCACAAAGTAATATCAATTAAAAACTGCATGCAACATCCTGGTCACTTCACTATAACTAGTGTTATGTTTCTTAAAACACATTCAATGAATGTGGAATGTGAGTTAAGCTAAACAGTAGGTTGCAATGTAGCTAGGATTCTGGTGAAATAACAGACAATGAAGAGAATGCTCTACTAGAATTACAGTATTTCAGTTATGTATTAATGTGCATATCACTTCCAGAGATTAAATTATTTCAAAAATGAACCATCCTGGTGAATGATTGAGTTTATATCTCAGAAAATAAGAAGTTAAGGGAAAAATCACAAAATAAACAGCATTAATATGCGTTGTTTCTGTTATAGAGGGGTTTGTTCCAAAGAAAAGGTTAGCTCACGCTAATGAAAATCTTCACCAATGAGGACTACACTAAGCAAGTTTATTACTCAGTATTTTAATAGTAACACCTGTTAGAAAAATTATCTTTTTAAGTAGTTATCTTTGCATCTCAACTCACTTTTTATTCCATTTTTCTTCCTATGACAACTATCTACTTTCCTTATATAATAGGAAAAGTCAGTGAATTCCTCAGATGGAGCTTTTGGGGCTTACAGGGGGAAAATATTGGGAGGCAGTTTCAAGAGTGGCATACCTGGCTGAGCACAGTGGCTCACACCTGTAATCTCAGCAGAGATTACGTTAAGAAGCCTGAAAACTGCTTGAGGCCAGGAGTTTGAGACCAGCCTAAACAACATAGGGAGACCCTATCGGTATAAAAAACACAAAAATTAGCGGGGTATGGTGGCATGCACCATGCCAGCTATTTCAGCTACTCAGGAGGCTGAGTCGGGAGGACCCCTTGAGCCCAGGAGGTTGAGGCTGTAGTGAGCTATGATCACACCACTGCATTTCAGCCTGGGTGAAAGAGTGAGACCCTGTCTCAAAAAAAAACAAAAACAAACAAACAAACAAAAAACAGTGGCATACTGGTCTATCCTTTAAATTAAAATTATGGCATACTTGTCTACATTTTTAATAAAAAACAAAGTTCTTCTGGTATCAAGAAATAACTTCACATTAACATATTAGATAGACCCAAATAGACTTAACAGTTCAGACCTAAGCTTTCTTTTTTTTTTTTTTAATAGAGATTACTGCTACATATGACGTGGTCATTACAGCCAATTAGAAGAGCCCTAAAGAAATTCCTTTCCTGTTTAGTGAAGGTGAATTTAGTATGACCTAACCCTGCTGAATCCTCCACAACCTGTTTCAATCCTAGAGTGAAAACACTTAAGTATTATTCTAAAATGCCCCAGGGTTTTGAGATTTTCAATAAATCTGGTTGTTCCTGACTTCTATATCCCTTATGTGACAAAATTCTGCTTTCTCCTTTGCTTTCTTTTTCTTAACCCTCCTCTTCGTTCCTATTTTCCCAATTCTGTCTGCCAAAAGAATAGACATTTTAGCTGCCTATTCAGACCAGGTGTACAAAATGCTACAAAAGATCATTTTATCTCTACCATACTGGGATATCAAGAAACTTTCCCTAAAGGTACATTTGCTTCTGTATGTTTTTTAAAAGAGCAGCCATGTTTAATACTGTGAAATACGATCTGTCTCCTCCTCTGCCCACCCTCTAAAGCAGTGATAAATTTCAGAGCATGCTCAGCAGAATTGGATTATATTATGCACAGTATACATGTTCATCACCAAAACTGTACTGCCTAGAATGTATGCAAGAAGAATGAATTGCTGAGACTTCAAAATCCCAGTTCCACAGAACTGATTTTATTAGCCAATACATACCAAAGATGGACGATAAAAGAAGTATTATTTTTGTAGTTTTCTTTCATAATGGAAGCCTTATGCTATTACAGACTGCAGTTTTCCAGTCTTTTGATTAAGCCTTGCCAGTTGTGTGCCGCTGTAGCACCAAGGAAACTGTTTTACAGCCTGTCACCTCCTCTGGTAGGCAGCCATCCTGGTCTCGGAGAGTGGGGTCAGCACCAGACTGGAGCAGCAGCTCTACAATGTCCAGAAACTCACACGCAGAGGCTGAAAGGAGAATTGACAAACATAAAAACAAGTTTACCACGAGACAGAGAAACTCTTTCACTTCAGCAGGAAAGGAAAAGTGCTGAGCAGTAAGGAGTACTGAACAATGAGCAATGTTACAGTGGCTGAGGGATGATCAGGCCTGGTAATGAGAACTGTGGTATTACGCTGGCTTTTCAAGCCTTAGGAAAAATAAAATTTACCTTTTGGTTGCCTAGAAACACACATACAAACAAATATATATTCCTAATTATGAGGCTTTTGGGTTTCAGTCTTTAAGAATGGGATTAAGGAAAAGAATAAAAAATAGTGTTTAAGTATCTATTTTACTTTGATCTTCATTTGTGTGCAGGATACGTCAAAAGACTAAAAATACTGTCAATGTCAAATAAAATGTTTTGTTTTTAAAGAGGGGAATAAGTGGGTAACTAACTGAACTTTACAATTTGTAAATTTAAAAAAAAGAAAGGCATCAATGGGTGTTATTGGTAAGTCCAAGGTATAGGAAGGGGAAAAAGGGCGCAGAGATATCAAGATTTATAAATATGGTAAAGTATTGCCTCAAGATGGACAGACAGACCAGAAGCCTAGAACTGAGAGTGTGATCTATTCTTCTGCACACATATGAAAACTTAATTCACGACAAAGTTGGCAGATCAGTAGGGAAATAAAGATCCAGTGATTAGATGGTGTTGAGACAACTAGATTCTCTAAAGGCAAAAAGAGGCACCAGATGAAACATAAATGGCAATAAACATATAAAAAGATGAGCATTCCACATAATCAGGGAAATGAAAATTAAAACCAGGAGATACCGTTTCATACCCACTAGACTGGTGAAAATGATGCAGCTGAATTCCATGGCCCCCCCTTTTTTTTTGAGACAGGGTCTGGCTCTGTCTCCCAACCTGGTGCAGTGGCGAGGTCATGGCTCACTGCAGCCTTGACCTTCTGGCCTCAAGCAATCCTCCCACCTCAGTTTCCTGAGTAGTTACAACCATGGGTGTGTGCCACCACGCATGGCTCTCACTTTGGGAGTCTCACTTTGTTGCCCAGGCTGGTCTCTAACTATTAGGCTTAGGCAATCCTTCTGCCTTGGCCTCCCAAAGTGCTGGGATTACAGGCATGCACCTCTGCACCTGGCCCTATAGCCATTTTATTGAGCAAATACTGTACCAGTCCTGTCAGGAATACAGGTAAGATTCCTGTTCTTGAGAATGTGCTGTAAATATGTAAATAATCAATTCTAATACAAAACAATGAAGAAGTACTGTGGCAGAAACACGTACACTGCAAAGGCAGGGAGGAAGGAGGAGACTGAGGGATCAGGAACACTACAAATTGGTAGTAAGATGTAAGATAAGCTCTAAAGGTTCGAGCAAAATTCCTGAGAAGGAAAGGTACTGCAAAATGCAAAAATACGACTAGCAGAGGCATGAAAGGGAATGCTGGGAGAACTGTCTGCTGGCTCAGGGAAGCAATACAAAGAGTTGAAAGTAGAGAGGCTAGACTGAAGTCAAATTACTAGGGCCTTGAATCTGTCACACTAAGAAGTTTGAGTTTTGTCAAGTGATCCACAGGCATTTATGAGGAGCAGAGTGGCACAATTTGGCAAACACTCATCTGATTTCTGTCCCTATAGTTCTTTTCTAGAAATAGAAATCGTAGAGCATATAGTCTTTTGTATCTCATCTCTTTCACTTAGCGTGTTCTTTTGAGATCCATCCACATTGCTTCAAGTATCAGTAGTTCTTTCCTTCTGATTGCTGAGTAGTATTCCATTGTATGGATGTATGCAGTCATCTGGGCTGCTTCCAATTTTTGGCATTAAACAGGGGTCTTATGAACATTTGGGTAAAGGTCATTGTGTGGTTCTGTTCTATGTTTTCACACCTTGTGGGTAAATATCTAGGAGAATTGCTGAGTCATATGGCAAGTGAATGTTTAATTTTATAAGAAACTACCAAACTTTCCTAAAGTTTGCATTCCCAACAATAAGCATAAATTCCAGTTGCTTTGCATCCTTTCCAGCACTTTACTATTATTAAAAATATTTTTGGGGAAGATCCAAGATGGTCGTTTAGGAACAGCTCGGAGTTGCAGCTCCCAGAGAAAGCGCAGAGGGTGAGTGGTCGCCGCATTTTTATTACCCACGGACCAGGAGATTCCCAGGCAGAGGTGCCCCACGGGTCGCCAGTGCGGCTGTTGTGGCCGTGGTTCTTTTGGTCGGCGCAGCTGCTTTGCCCCGCAGGGCTGCTTTGTCAGCGCCCCCGCCGCAGTTCTCCGTACATAACACACTGGTCCAGGTGCCCTTTTGGCTGGCGATTGGAGACCCGGGAAGTAGCCCATTCATCTGATTAAAGAGGGGACTGAACAGGGAGCCAGGCCAGGAGATTCCTGGGCAAAAAAAAAGTGCCATGAATCTCAGTCCCGCTGTTTAAGCTGGTGCAGTAAGTCGCTGCACGGGAAATCAAACAGATCCCGGTGCCGCTTCAACAGGCGACGGGGATAGAGTCAACTATTCAACTAAAAAAAA